TATTTATTTATTTATTTATTTAGTTAGTTAGTTAGTTAGTTAGTTAGTTAGTTAGTTAGTTAGTTAGTTAGTTAGTTAGTTAGTTAGTTAGTTAGTTAGTTAGTTAGTTATATCTCACCTATCTGGTCTTGCATCCATTCTAGGCAGCTTTTATAATTTTATAACTGCTCTTAGTGATTAAGGGAAAGCCTGCCTGAAGAGACAGGCCTTCTCTTAAGGGAAAGCCTGCCTGAAGAGAAAGGCTTTCTTCACCTGCTTGCAGAAGGACATCAAAGACGGGACCAGGCTGGCCTCCAGTGGGAGGGAGTTCCACAGTCTGGGAGCAGCGACAGAGAAGGCCCTCTCCTGTGTCTGCACCAGACACACCTGTGAGGATAATGAGACGGAGAGAAAGGGTATCTCGTGACGATCTTAACACCCCAGCCAGCTCACAATGGGAGATATATGGTCTTTGAGATAGCTTGGCTCCCAAACGTTTAGCGCTTTATAGGTCAAACTAGGTATCGCCAGAGCCTAGATTGAGATGAGAAGGGAAGGTGTCCATAGGAGGTCAGAGGAAATGTAGGGCTTAATTGAGGGGTCAGGAGCACATGGTTTGCTCCTTTATGGGGCAAAAATGTCTCACCTTCCTCTCTGATGCCAGCGTCGAAGGCGGACCCATCCTGTCCTGCCCTAGGACAAAGAGATAGCTGAGCTAAAATATATACACATGTTTAAAACGCATCTCAGTGGAATCAATATCAGTCAAGGGTTCTTAGGTCATTGCCAAATATAAAATGTTGCACCTGCTGGAATCCCCAGCTATATTCCCTTTCCTTGCTAACGAACCAGTGCTTCCTCAGAACCTGCCTTCCAGGTGTGTCCCTTCTGCTGTCTGAATTAGGAGACCTCTTGTCCCCATCGGGTCCTGTCCCACATTTCCCTTCCTCTGAAGATGGCTGTTTAGATGGGCAGGCCGGAGTAGGAAGGAGCAGTTGCGCTGAAATCGCTCCCGCGCATTGCCCATGGACGGGATCTCGATCTCTCTCTCTCATCGCTCCAGGTGACCAGCGCCAACAGCACGGACCGGGGCAGCTGCGCCGATGGGACGGACGTGGACCCCTGCAAGGAAGCGGGCTATCGCTCCCGCAAAGAGGCCAACGCCCGGTGCAAAGCCCTCAAGCTGCCACCCTTTGAGCGCTGCCACACCGCCGTGCCCCCCGAGCCCTTCTTCGCCTCCTGCGTCTACGATCTCTGCGCCTGTGGAGCGGCCACCGCCGAGGACTGCCTCTGCGAAGCCCTGGAGGCCTACGCGGCCGAGTGCCGCCACGCTGGCCTGGTGCTGCAGTGGCGCTCGCCCACGCTCTGCGGTGAGGGGGGGGCTGTGGGGGCTGTAATGGGCCAAGGCACACGTCCAGCGCCCCCCCTCACAGCCCTTCTAGGTTCTGTCCAGGCCTTAGAAATGTGATTTGGGGGGGCTTCTGCTCCCAAAACCTCCCCATTGTCATCCAAAAGGGTAAATTGTACCAGCTGGAAGTAAGCTGAAGAGAGAACAGAAACAAGTGGAGGGGAAAAGGGATCAAAGCGATCCTGCTGTGCTTTTATTCCTTTCCCCCTCCACTTGCTAAGCCTTTGCTTAGATTTCTTCATTTTGGGCTAGAAAAATGTGCGGGGCTCTTAAGCATGGGGGTCTTTTATACATGGAAAAATACGGTATCTATCTACCTATCTATCTATCTGTCTGTCTGTCTGTCTGTCTGTGTGTGTGTCTATCTATCTATCTATCTATCTATCTATCTATCTATCTATCTATCTATCTAATTTAAAATATCTGCATCAGGCCAACGTGCCACTTCCAGTTTATCTCAGGGCATCCTTTTACAACACGGATGGACAGCCCTCAGGGGCACCTGCTTGTTTACACACACACCCCAATTTTTCCCCAAAGGCTTCTTTTAAATAGGAACGCCTCCTTATGCCTTCTATTATATCCCCACACCGTTAAATAAATAAACATCTGGGGAAATGGGAATCCAGGAGATCCTGCCCCTTCCCCAAAAAAAGGAATATGGCATAATTGCTTCCAACACCCCCTAGAGGGCACAAAACAGATTAAACAGCTGCCGTTTGGGAGAAAGCGCTGGGAACCATGTGGGGCAATGGTTCTACTGCAGGACTGCAGCCAAAACTCTGCTCGCAACCCGAGTGCTATCCCAGGTAGCCGGCTCGAGGTTCACTCAGCTGTCCATCTTTCCGAGGTCAGTACATTAAGTACCCAGCTTACTAGAGGGAGGGAGTTGCAATTTAATGAGCCTGCATGATTAAATTGTAAACCACCCTCGAAGCACTACAGGGTGGAATATAAGCAGGACACTTTGCTCTTGGCTTTGAGTAAAAATATTTTTGTTCTCTCAGTGGGAATGTGGAGGTTCTGAGAGGGTCCGGGATGCGAGTTGGCTCCATTTGAGCCTCTGAGAACCATATTTCTCACCCTTGTTTTGAAGGAGATTGAAGCTTCTGGAGGTGCTGCCCCTGCCCAAATTTCAGGGGGATGCATGGCGTGTGTGTCATTTAAGTCCCCCCTGAGCCATGCCGCTCACCCTAAGCAACTTTAGTGCAGCCACTTTCTAGCAGCCTGGTCTACCTCTCAGGGGTGTTGTGAGTCTAAAGGGAGGAGGATGGAGAGAGGAGCACGAATAATTGAGCAATGATCTGTTGGCCCCCTCTCCCTGATCCCCCCCCCCCAAGCCATGTTGCTCTCCCTAAGCAACTTTGGTCCAGCCATTTTCTAGAAGCCTGGCCTACCTCTCAGGGGTGTTATGAGGCTAAAGGGAGGAGGATGGAGAGAGGGACATGGACAATTGATCAATGATCTGTCGGCCCCCTCTTGCTGACATTGTGGTTCTCCTGTTTCCCCATAGCTGTGGGATGCCCCCAGGACCGGGGCTACGTGTTTGACGAGTGTGGGCCCCCCTGCCCGAAGACGTGCTTCAACCGCGAGGTCCCGCTGGGCGTGCTGGAGTCCCACTGCTTTAAGCCCTGCGTGCCCGGGTGCCAATGCCCTGCAGGGCTGGTTGAACACGAATCTCACTGCATCGTGCCCGAATCTTGCCCCCGGATCATCTATGGCACCCTGTGAGCAGGAGTGTCTCCGGGAAAGCCGCGTCCCGCACTGCCTGCCCATTGTCTGGGGAAGCCCAGGAGTTTGGAAATGAGCCTTTCCAGCTGTTCTGGAGGAACTTTGGACAGCGAAGGCCGGGGGGGGGTCAGCCGCACACGCACCCCTTCGTTTCAAGGAAACCAGCCGTCCCTCGAGAGGCGTGCCACGCAAGGGAGCACCTGCCGCCTTCCACAAACGGCTGCACCTTGAGAACTTCAGCCTTCCTTGAAGGACATGACTCTGAGCCTCTTGACCGAGAGGAGGGGCGCTGGGAACAGCTTTGCTCTCTGCCAGGCAAAACCAGCCGAAAGCTTGAACTGCAAAACCAGAATAAATGATCCAAAACGACATAAATATAAAAGTTGCATCGTTTAATCCGAATGGCACCGCCATTTTGTCTGTTTCTTTGTTTAGCGCTCAGATTACTGTACGTCCCATTGGCCTTCTGGCTCTTCTCCTTCCTCGGACAACATCAAGCTTCCAATCTTGTATCTGCCCCTTTCACTCCAGATTCTTCCTGGGTCCCCCCCCCTCCTTGAAACAGGGGATCAAAAGAGCCCCTGTGCTCTTGGGGCCATTGGGCCAATGGGACCCCCCCCTTTTTTTTTAACTACATCAAACCATGTGGGGTTGGAAATTCCTGCTCAGGAACAGCCTTTGGAAGGGCCTAAAACAGTGGCCTCTGATGGTTTCTTTGGGTACCGATTTGAAGGCCAAGCACTGTCAACAGTGGTGTTCCAAATTTCTGTCCTCTGCCACTGATGGACAAAAATTGACTGGTGCAATGCACTTCGCGTGGGGCTTCCCTTGAGGTTGATGCAGAAGCTTCAAGCGGATGGTTTCTTTGGGTACCGATTTGAAGGCAAAGCAACGGTGCTCCGAATTTCTGTCCTCTGCCGCTGATGGACAAAAATGGACTGCTGCAATGCACTCCGCATGGGGCTTCCCTTGAGGCTGACGCAGAAGCTTCAAGCAGTCCAAAACGCAGCAGCCAGCTTGCTTGCCGGGGTGAAGGAATGTAATTCCCCTGACTCTGGCTAGCCTGCATTGGTTACCCATCCGCTTCCGTGCCGCGTTTAAGGTGTTGGTTCTCACCCACAAAGCCCTGAATGGTTTGGGACCTGGCTACCTGTCTGAATGTCTTCTGCCGACGTCAGGGACCCATTTGACCAGGTCCTCCATGCCCCTGAGCCCATGAATATTATCACCTCCAGAGGCCTGGAAAACGACCCGGCAGAGGAGGCCAGAAGCCGGGCCTCCCTCTGCTGTGGCCGTTCTGTCCTGCGCAGAATTGTTCTGTTCGTGTCCCAGGGCTCCTCGTTGTGGGTCCTCGTGAGATACACCACCCGAGTCACCCAGGCTGAATTTCTTGCTCCAGGGCCTCCTTCTCCACTCCCGACGAGGGCTGGTCCCTAAAAGTGAGCTGATAATTTCAGTGCTTAGACCTCAGGTTGCATCAGGAACGGGCACAACCTTATCGGGAGAAAGGTGGCCTATAAATTGAATAAACGCACCTCCAAACGTTGCAAAACAGTGACAGCCGTTTGTGGTTCACATCCTGCTTAGCCTTCGGGATAGCTCAGCGGGTTCTGTTTCTGGCAGAAGTTGGGAGTCCGATTCCCCCCCAACAGGGCCTCTTGGGAGACGAGCCAGCCTGGGTAGCCTTGGGCAAGCGGTGCTGTCCCAAAGTGCCCCCTAGAGGAAGGGAAGGGTAAAGCACTTCTGGAGTAGGGTGACCCTAAGTCTGAATTGACTTGACAACACATCACGATGATGAGCCTCGTCTGCTGGGGCATTTAAAGTTTCACTTTCGGCAGCAACCTGCATTTAACTTTTGTTTCTTCAAAAAGGAAGCCATATTAAGGAAACCGAAATCACTGCTTCCTTCCCTTTCTTCCTTGTGATGCTTTTTTTTTGGAGCATGAAGGTATTGCTTTCCTTTCTGATTCCTGCTCAAGGCACCAGAAAGTGAACCTCAGACTCTCAGAGACACACAAAGCTGGAGGTTTTATAGCTGAAACTAGCATTTCGCATACCTGCTTTCTGAAATCTAGATGTGCTTTCAAAAGCTCGCCCTCATCCAGTTTTGCTTTTCAGGTGAGCTGGGAGTGTTCTTTTTCACTTCTCAGCTCAGCTGAATCGTGAGACCGTCACCTTTTCACCAGGCAGAAAAGCCATCATCCAACCTAATTCCTCAGGAAGGAGTGTTTTGACATTATGTTAGACTACACAAGGAAGCCACTGAAATCCACAAACATCAGCAAAGCTTCAGCAAAAAAAGAAGAAAGTCTAAAACTCACCAAAGCCTGGCTCCCAGCACTGAAAAAATACAGCCTGCAAAAGGTCAACGAACTCTACCCAGATAAAAGGACTGGGGATCACTGCACACAAAAGACCAGCTAACGACACCCACCAATCACAGTGACAGGTCATCTCCATCCTCCCCCCTTATACAACAAATACCCCCACAAAAAAAAAAAAAAAAACAGGCTGATCACCATAATCACCCAATGTCCTGAAAAGAACAAAAAGCTGGTCCCACAGCTATAAATACTCAACTACCCCACAAACTGCACCAGAGCACAGAGTTCTGACTCCTGTCTTCTGAAGATGCCAGCCACAGAGATGGGCAAAATGTTAGGAAGAACAACCTTCAGAATACAGCCAAAGAGCCCAAAAAACCCACAACAACCAATTTTATGACTAGCGGGTTCATTTTAGTGCAGGCAACAACATTAACTCCTGAAAGGACAACGGGTTTGATGGTGGTTGTGGGTTTTCCGGGCTGTCTGGCCATGTTCTTGAGGTTGTTCTTCCTAACGTTTCGCCCGTCTGTGTGGCCGGGGCATCTTCAGAAGGCAGGAGTCGAGGTTGTTCTTCCTAACGTTTCACCCATCTGTGTGGCCGGGGCATCTTCAGAGGGCAGGAATCGGAACTCTGTCTGTGTTCTGGTGCAGTTTGCGGGATAGTTGAGTATCCCACAACTATCAACTCAACTATCCCACACACAACCTTCAGAACACATCCAAACAGCCCAAAAAACCTACAACAAGCATCGGATCCCGGCCGTGAAAGCCTTCAGGAATGCTGTTGTTATGACTTGTTATATATTGCGTGTAAACCTGCCAGAGCAGTGGTTCTCTAAGTTGGGCAGTATACAAATTCCGTAAATAAAATAAAAGCATCAATACATATATCTAAGCAAATGGAGAAGTTCCCATCGCTCTTACCCAGACAGTCCAGGGATCAAGGATTCTGGGAATCGTAGTCTTTGAACATTAGGAGGGCCACGTGTCCCCCACTCTTTTAAGAGAGCAAGGAGGGAAGAGACCCTGTTGACATGTAGTAAAATGGGCAAAGGGTTTAAGATAAAAGGCATTTATTTCCACAGTGCAGTGTTAACCAGCGGAACTCATTGCTGCAAGACAAACAGGAATGTGAACCCGGGGCCTCCCAGACCCGAACCCAACACACTCTGCTCTGCCACTGTGCCAGTTGACTCCCCCTCCCCCAGAGCTTTCCAGCGGCTTCAGGGTGCCGCTTGACCACACAGCATTTTCCCGCAAGCCAAGAGAAGCATCCCTCGGGCGGGGGAGAATCCTGGACCTTTTCCCAGTCCCAGGGACTCCCTCGTACCCTGGAGGATGCAGGTCGGTGTGCCAGGACACCACCAAGGGCAAGAGACACACAGGTCTGATGGGCGGCATTGAGGGATGCTAGCGTGCCTGTGTGTGTGTGTGTTAGGTCGATTGCTGATCCCCCTCCCTTCTGCTTAGGAAAGAAAGCTGGCCTTCCCATCCAGCCAGAGAGCAGAAGTAACTCGTTACAACGAACGCCATCCGTGGCACAGAACAAGGGAAGAAACCGTTACAGAGTTACTTGTAAGTGCGGCAAACAACAAGTTCCACTGTGGAACTACTTTCCAATCTTCACTTTTCCAGGGCCTGTTACCGCATTTTAAAGAAGTGTTTCTCGGCCCTTCTCGCGTTCTCTCGCCGGCCCTCAAGGCAAGGGAAGCCTTATTTATTTGTTTGTTTGTTTGTTTGTTTGTTCTGTTTTTGAAAATATTTGTGCAGGCCAGCCTCGGATGCGGCCCAAAGGAGAAGCGACAACGGGGCAATAACGCGTTTCGCCACAAACCGCTCGCGCAGCGGGAGCGACGGAAGGGAAGCGAGCCACCCCGTAGCGAGTAACGAGAAACGCGCCGCGTTCCTTTTAAAACGCCGCCACCGTTCCAAGCGCTGAGGCCCCGCCCTCAGGCAGCCGCAGGGACGGAGGCGGCGGCCGTCCTCCGGCTGGGGAGGGGGGGCGATCCACCCTCCCCAGGGGCTGCCGGGCGGCGTCCCCTCCGCGGGCCTTCTGCCTTGGAATTGGAGGGGGGGGGGGGGGGGGACCCGGGGAGCG